ATTTTGGAAGTGGTCTTACCTGGAGCTCCCAGAAGATACTGCGTGTATGTCTGTGGTAGTAATGCCTTGCGGGAATGTATTCTATTCCAGTCCTGTCAGCTTTCAAATACATCTCCACATGCTTAAAGAACCACGGCTTGTAGTAGTTGCCAATTCTGTTTATCTACAAGAAAACATGCACTCATTAGCAAACACCACCACAGGTAACGCTTACACCTTGCTAGACAAGGTTAGGCATGTCCCCAAATTCCTTTACGGTGAAGAATCAATGTTGTTCTCTTTGTGGCGGTTTGAATGAGACTGTCACAAGAGATCTAGAGACCCTTCATTTCTCCACGTGCATGGCTCCTTCTTACCTTGCTTGCTATTAAGTTTTAATTTAAATAAGGCTTTCTAAGGCTTGCCTGTTACGAGCTAATTAAAAGACATAATGTGACATAACTGGATTCCTAAAATACTGATCTCTCAACCCAACCCTAATCCAAAGTCTCATTACAGCAGAGGAGAAACATCCAGGTTGAAGGTTGCAGTGAATAGTTTGCATGTCCCTCTGATGCTTTACCAATATTAACTGTATTAAAAGCTTCCTGGGAAAGAAGTTATTCTGAATAAGTGCAGTTTAAGATAGGATTGTTCAGTATATGAGAAGATACTTCTCTTCCTCTGCAATGAAAAGGCTGTAGACTAAATTATTTGCTAGAATAATAAAATCAGTGGTCATTTCTTACCAATTGAACAGAGTACAGACTGTTGGAGTAGCAAAGAGCTGCAATTTAACATATTCTGATGGACAGATCTAATTTTTAAACTCAAGAGATTGATCAAATCTTATAATGATTCTGGTTTTATATTGGCATGTTGTGCAGCTTCAGTTCAACTTTGGGGGTATTTTTCTTTTAGTGAGTAAATTCCCTTTAGTTACCTTGCTTTGCTCAGGTTCGTCAGTCAAGACTCCTGTCATGATGACTGCTTCTTCCAAAGAATACATGAGTCCTTCCACAAAACTGTTCTCCTTTTTCTTAGATTCTTCGGTAAACTTTTCACAAATCTTCTGCAGTCCTCTCACAGGCTCATAATGTATTTTGACATATTTCTTGGCAGGAATCATCTTAATTTCTGCTGCAACCAGGAAACCCAAAGTACCACAAGACCAAGGCACTGCATAAAATAGGTCTGAGTTTTCAGTCTGCAAAAAGTATGTCATACTAAATCATATATCCATACCGATAACTGTCAACGACATTGTAAATGATAGCAAAAGAACATTTTGTCTTACTGGTGAACATCTCACAAGGCTTCCATCGGCAAGAACAAGTTCATAGGCCATGCAGGTATGTTGAAAAAGTCCATAGATATGAGATGAAGACTCAATGCCCGTTCCCATGATCAGGCCACCTTGTCAAGAGAGCACATAACAAATCAAATGAAACATACTCCAAAATGAAGGTGGTTTACAAGAAAAAAAACACCCCACACAACATTTTTAAGCTCTGGGCATGGCTTTTAAGACTTTAAAAAGGAAGTGGTTATAACATAAATACCATAACAGAAAACAAGGTTCAACAGATTATTTCAGGAACCTTTAAAATAAAGCAACATGTTACTGCGTAAGAAGCTAAAGAAATGCAGCAAAACCAGTGAGTCTCTTGTCATCACAACGACCCTTACCTACTGTAAGGTCATCAAGCTCTGGTACCACAGGAATAGTCCAGCCCATGGGATTCAGGTATGCAGTCAACTGGCCCATAGTCACCAAAGGTTCCACAAGAACAACCTAAAAAAGCAAAAAAAACCCCAATTTCCCCCGCCAAACATAAATTAAGTGTGCAGCATTAATGATGACAAAACATGGCTCACTGGCTTGTACTTCCATCTGTTATCAGAATTTCGAGACTTACTTTCCTAAGAGCACTACTAAAAATAGTTGAAACTGTTTAGTGATTCCTCCTCTGACTCAACATCTTGTTGCTCACTCCCCAAAACCATAAATCAATCTGGTCTTTTAGACTTCAGCACAGAAAAGCTAAGCACTTCCATATGCTGCAAAAAGCAGGAGGTGGGGGGGGTTGATATTATGATCCAAGCACGCATTGCAAAAACCTAAAATTTGGTGGGTCTACTGCTATAGAATTCATTTGTTCTTTATGGAATCTAATCTCCTCTTCAGCTACAGATATAGCAAAAAAAAAGCAGTAAACTTCATTATTATGAAAGCTTTGCCATGAATTTATTACCTGTCTTTCACTGTCCACTTCCAGGACATCCATTAAGTTGATCATAATGTTCTTATGAATCTTCTTGTACTTCCCAACACGCAGTGATACAGTCAACCAGCCAGGCCGCCCAGTGCACATGTATCTTTTGCTGCCTTCATCTTTCCACTCCCGAACCTGCGAGAGATAACAACTGAATTGATGCTGAAGGCAAACACATGCAGTCAATAATGTATACCAGAAAAACGTTTCTCTCGCTGTGAAAAGACATTCAGAGATATTGTTACTCCTCTACATGCATGTTACCTGCAAGTAACAAAGTCTGGATGTCACTATGTTGAGCAGCAACGCTTTGGAAGTCTCTCTGCAGGTGCCTGAATTTCTAAATAAAATACTTCCAGAGGGGTCTAGTTATGTAGAGGAAGCATTTCTAATATCTCATGGGTTTTTTGGGAGGCACGATTCAGAAAACTAGTAAGAAATTAACAGTGGGAAAACCTATACTCAAAGGGAGGTATTATCACTGTTACAAATAATGTCAGTTCCGGGAAGGTTAATGAAACAATGCCTCCTCCTAAACAAACAAGAAATGGTCTGAGCCTGAACATGAACCGGGCAAAGGGGGGAAAGTTGAGAAGGAAAATGTGTAAGTCATACACGTAATCCACTAAATTTGCAAAGCCACAGCTGTCAGCGTTTGGAGAACAAACGTCAATTGTTGCCTTTTCTTCAAAGCTGAAATGCTGCTGCAGCTGGCGATAAAAAAAATCCAGTCCCAAACCCTCAAAGAGTAACCCCGTGCACATTAATTTCCATCTGTATCTGCAATGAACATGAGAGTCAAGGGAGAAAACAGCAGCAGACGTGACAGAACTACCATAAATACCAGAGTGCGCAGAAACGTTACAGACATCTGCATTGCCGGGTGGAAGAAAAGTTTCAATCATCTTTTGGAACCAGCAATGCCCAGAAGCTGGATGTAAGCGATATTAAAACATGGTATTAAGCCAACCATTCAAAAGCTAACAGTTTTATACGTTACACCTGCATACAGAGGGACTTGGAGCACATCCCTAAGGATGCTGCACCGACAGCAGCC